AAAGTTCTTACAGGCTGATGTTGCATTTTTATTTTCATCTGACATTTGTTTTAAATAAAAAAAGTTCAAGGTTTCAGTGCCACCATATATATATATATATATATATATATATATATATATATATATATATATATATATATATATATATATATATATATATATAAAAATGGATGACAAAAATATTAAATATGAAAAAATTAAAATGAACTATTAAAAATTGGAACTTTTTGAAGAAGCAAGCATTAACTGTAATTTAAATCCAAAGATTTTTGTATAATTATGTTTAATGTATTTATTTTCTTGGTTTCTTACAGATATTTTAATTTTCTGAGTAATTCAGTAATATCTTATAGGAATATTTGTTTGGCTCATTTAAAAAGTGACACAAAACCTCACATGAAAACCATCCTTACACCTTGAAAAGATAATTGTAATATACAAAGTCTTGGTAATTCTGGGGCAATGCCTCTGTGACGGAAGATATCTCTCTTTGACAGTTATCTTCATTAAATGTTATTAAAGCAGTGATAATCATTTTTTTTTTGATAAAACATAAATATCAAATATCATATATCATAGGTATTATTTTTTTCTGATTAGAAAAAAAATGTGACTTTCATAGAATTTTTGTATAGATTATATAGTCCCAAAATGGAAACTTTAATTTTTTTTTTTTTTTTAATATTTCTCATTAATTGGTTTGGTTAATTCTGACAGATTGAACTTACAGCATTGTGAAAAAAAGCCACTCATAATACACTGTATCTGAAATTATTAGAATCATATTTTTGCATAAAATATATTTGTTAATGACTGGTAACAAGGAGAATAAAATTATTAATAAAGGAGTTCTTTATAATGAGAAATCTGTGCTTTTAGAAAAAGTGTGCATCTACACATTTATATATGTTGCTTCCAATCTATTGAGAATGACTGCCAAGAACATCCCCTTCCTAAATTTCAAATTCTACAGATGCATGCTGGGATTTCTTCTTAACCAATAAAAACATCTAATTCAATTTTTGCTCTTTCTTGTATTGAAGTCAGAAACTATAACTACTTGACTGTATCCCTTTTGTGTGTGAACACAATTCTTACCGTGTACTTTTGCCTGTTGCAAAAGCAGTGAATTCATATATCTGGGCAGCATATTTACTGAAGACGGTAAACTAGACAGAGAAATCGAGACCAGATGTCAGAAAGCCAACGCAGTAAATTACCAACTTGCTTCTCTTCTAAAACATTCTAGCATTTCCATGAGCACTAAGGCAAATCTCATTAACGCCATTTTCCTACCAACGTTGACATACCAGTGCCAGACATGGGCCCCCTAACAAAAGCCCTTGAGAAAACTGAAATGAAATGCCTGAGGAAAGCAGTGAACAAGACCAGGTGAGACAAGATCAGGAATGAGGCAATAAGACATATGGTAGGAGCAAGACTAATCATACAACACATTGAACTACAGAGGGTCAAATGGTCTGGACACCTCACTCATATGTCTATCAACCAACCAGTCCTATGGGCATACACCCTCAGGTATTATGGCTGGAGATTGAGAGGCAGACCAAGAAGACACTGGAGCAACTAAGTGGCAGACACTCTCAGAGTCCACGAGATATCTCTTCTCCAGATGACTGTGTCTCCCCATGATGCCTAACAGCACAAGCAGAAGGAAAAAACTAAAACTAAACTGTTGCATTACTTTGCCTAGTGCATACATGCATATTATATATATATATTATAATAAAGAGAAAGAACAGTAAGATATATAATCTGGTGTTCTTATTAATTATTTTTATTTTTATAAAACAGTGCTTAATGCAAGTCTACAGAGCATAGATATTATAAATTTACAAATTTAAAAATAAAGTTCCATCGCTACACAGATATGTATTATTTTTTTAGCCAGTACTTTTTCTTCCTCTTCTTATTGCTTGCTGAGAATTTTATCAATCACACGTAACCACGGCCAATATATGTGGACATTGAGCTCAACACCAAGTGGTGACAGTATTTCATGCTTGAATGCAAACCCTAAAGATTCCATTCAAGCATGAAAATCTGTTGCTGCTCAGTGTTGACCTCAGTCTTCAATATATGTATACCTTTTTTATTGGTCGTTCAATGGGGTTATTTATTGCCGAAACATTAACCTATGGATTACTACAAAGAAAAGAATAATCTATTCGAGAATATAAAACAATGTACCCTGATCTCCCCTTCTTCAAAATGAGACATTCCATTGTTAATGAACAACAAAATATCCTATTAGCAATGAAGGGAAATCAGGCTACTTCTACAAAGGGATCAAGTTATAATAAATTTACATAGCAAACTGGACCCCTCGAGTATTATAAAAACTAATTGTTTGAAAATCTTGATATTCATGATCTTTTTTCATAGTAACATGAAAAAAAAGAAGTTATTTCTGGTTGCAGTGTCTGCAACTCCACCTAGAGAAGTATATAAATTTATCTCAAATGCAAGCTTTATGAACATATGAAATCTAGCAACATGTATTTTTTTTCGATAAGAAAATAAGCAGGTGGTGCAACAGTTAGTGACTTTGAAAAAGTTAAAATTCCACTCAGGTTTGTTACATTCTCCTTTGCACAAATATCCTTGGGAAAGTATGGATTCACTTTTTTTTCCCTACCAGCTATGGATTAAACAGTAGGGTTGACTGGGCTCTGTCTTGAGGTGGCAACAAGTCTAGAAGGAAAACTGAATTCAAAACTATCCTGTAGAGAAATAGCTCTGTCGTGCTATCTTAATTCAGATACAACTCCTGTTATGGCTGCAGTACATGTGGTGCTCCTAAAGCTCTAATGGGTTATGGGGCTTGTGATATGACAGTGTAACATCATATATATAGTTTGGAATTTAAGCATGATAATATATATTTATAATACAAAAGTCAAATGAAAATTTATTTAGAGCCACTGAAAAGTAGGTTATTGAATATAATTGTTTTATGGACAAAAAGAGGCGTTAAGAAGTGTAGATTATGAAGATATGTCGTATAGAAAATGGTTGGCCCTAGACTTGGAGAGGTTTGTAGTTATCAAGGAAGCATCCTTTTAAGAGTCTGTACCACAAGACTTTTGGGAAGTAGCTGTCTGAAAGGAACTTCCTTTGCATCAATGAAATATGAAGAAAATGGAGAATGATTTGACTGTGTACATGGTATGGTGGATCATAGCTGTAAAGATCTGAACTGGTGGAACTAAGGAATGTAGCTGGTCAGAATATTATCCATGGAAATAGTGACAGAGTAGCAATAGGCTTGTGACATTTCGTCTGTGGGGAAAAGGGGGTGTAGAGTGGAAAATAATTCATCACCCACAAGGATGCATAAATACTTTTGAACTCAGTCAAGGCTGGAAAGAGAAGACTGAAGTCTTCATGCATAAGGGCATAGTAAATTGATTTATCAGATTAATGTCAGTCATGGATATAAACATTCAGGTATAAAAATATTTAGTGAACAATAGTTACGGTTGTGTTTTAGGCTGTGCTTGTTGAGACAAAGTAAAGGAAAGTGAGACTTGCTTAACAAAATTCATAGATTTATGTCTGTTGGATAAAGAGGTTCACATTAAAATCCCAAAATTCTTTTTGTTAAAAATTATACATTAGCTTCTACAAAATTTTTAGGCATCAGTTTTGTAAATAATTAGTTTGAAAACTGTTGCTATTCTTCAGGAGCTGCCAGCATTGATGGTTTTCCACTTCTTCTGCAAAACCCTCCAAGTGATCTTCCAGATCAGCAAATACAAACCCTTCAAAAGCATATATATGTTCAACATCTTTCCTACCGAGAAAGAACTTCAAACAAATAATGGCTTAATTGAAAGAGTTAATGATAGAAAGCTGAATGAAATTGGCTAAGTTATATATCTAGATACATTGGATGTCAAAAATATAAATTTTAATCTGAGCATCTGTGTATCTTTAGTGTTTTGATGTAAAATTGTAGCCAGCATTTTTTGTACTTCATTCCCCCTCTTAATATATAAGTAAAGACAATCCTTAAAAATCAATTTCAGTTCTTAAGGATTATCTTTACTTATTATTATATTGCTTTGTTACATTGAGCTCTCTTTGGATTAATGTCCACTTTGGAATTATCCCTACCAATTACTAATTTGTGTGTGTGTGTATATATATATATATATATATATATATATGACTGACTCCATTAATCAATCTATTATTAGTCTGAAGAAGTTCTGTCTGAGGAGGAAATGTGTTTTTCCCCATTTTGTTATCCAATTACACCCACTATGAATCTGATATATAAAATTGTATATATCTACCCTCTCTCTTATATATAATGTGTGTGTGCATGTATGTGTGTTGGGGGAGTGAAAAAAGTTCTGTTTGGACTACTTCCCTATATATATATATATATATATATATATATATATATATATATATATATATATATATTGCAAGGAATACCTTCTTGACTGAATCAAAAACTTTTTTCGCACCATGTGTGAGTGAGAGAGAATATAAACACTTTCTTCCATATGGTAGCATCCAAGTATTGACAAAAATAGTAGTTTTACAAAGAAGTTCAGATAAAAACAAAAGTATATATACTTTTGTAGGATTTTGAGATCACCGATTCTAATATTAAAACAAAGTTAATATTTTAACTATTTTCTTCAGGTATGTAACTAAAACAAGATAAATACAGCTATATAAGTGCTGTAAATATAGGTTTAGTCTATGATTAGAAATGTTTTTCTATGCCTATGATATGTTTGAAAATGAAATTTAGCTAGTAATTCATTTTTTTTTAAAATTAGAAGATTTTATTGAAATAAGGAATTTAATTTTTTTTTTTTTTTTTTTTTTTTTTTTTTTTTCACAAATTGCCTTGTTCATCTCAACATTCATTTGTTCTCTTTGCAAAAATAATATATTTTTTGTCTACTTTTGCAGCCCATACGAAAGAATTTGTCAAATTTTAATCTTTCTTATAAAGGCTAAGACTTTGCTGGTAAAAGATTTTCTGTCTGCTTTTCCATGTCCTTGTCAGCTTTTGTATCTTGCATCTCTTTTGAATGCTCTTTCTTCATCTCTCGACGCTTCACTTCGGTGTAACCCAAGGATCCGAGCAGAACGGTGCAGTTGCTGAACCACCATAAAATGGATTTCACATCCGAATTGTAAATGCAGGCAATGACTGTCTGGGCACAGGCTTTAGCTGTGCCTGACACATTATGGGTCAATGGAGATGTGTACTGAATCTGGAGACCTGTAGCATAACCAATGGCAAAGCCAAGAAAGCCACTGATTGACATGACGTACCAAAAGTGCAGATTTCCAATGTAAGGAAACGAGATGACTGTGTTGACTTCACCAAAGAAAAGCATCAGTGGAATGAAGAGGATGGTTGCATTAATGTTGTTGTAGAGTGTGAGGCGCCAAACATTGTTGTCTACCATTGGTAGGATCTTTTTTGTGAAGATAGCATTCATGGCTACACTTGCACTAGCAAAAACCCCAAATATCACACCAGTAATACTTAAGGAGCCTGTTGGAAGAGATGGAGGAGAGACGAAAAACAAAACTTTAGTTATATAAATAAAAAGTTTAATAAATTATATACATAACTGTTCCATTCATACATATTCATAAATAGTTGTGCTTTTTTGTTAAGGCAGGATTGTGATTAATCTTGCATAATGTAAAGTGGGTCTTGCCTGACAAAGGATTTTTTATAATGATTTGAGACAAGGTTTTACAAGGCTGGATGCTCTTCCTGATGCCCAACTCAGGTACTCATGGTAGTCAAAGTTCAGTGTTTTTATCACCTCTAGGAAGGTTGCCATTCAAGGCTTGAGACACCATCCTATATATATATATATATATATATATATAATTTTTTGTGTATTTCAGCAGCAATCCCTCTTTTATACATGTTTCATTTAAGACTGACAAGGTACTGAGATTAAGCTTTTTATTTAATTTTTCTTGTGTTCGTATAAGTGTTTTCTTGGAATCACTGTCAGTGTGTAGTTACTAAAATTGAATACAAGAACACCACAAACTATGATTTTACCTTATCTTTTGACCAAAGCAATATGGCCTTTATCAGTCATTAAAATCTTGTTCATAATTGCAGCATTCAATAAATAAAAATGAACTACTTGAGGACAGATTAACTGCTGATATTCCTCTGAATGCAGTTGTTATGAGACAGTAGCTGTCTTTCTTGCCACATGTTTCTGCTCACAATATTTTGGCTCATCAGTATATAATGTATTCAAATATAGTCAGTGCTAAAATGCAACGTTGATTATCATTTCATTCTTTCCTCACTCCTAATGCCAGAATTTTATGTGTTATTATATAAAGTAAGTAAATGGCCAGCTGCTCATTTACAAGGATGCCTATCTGCTGGAGTGTCTAGCTAATCCATGTAGCAGACACCTACTCACATTTGTGTCTCTTCAAAAACCCAGAGGGTCAACCATGCTGAGCTAGTTACAGTTTTTGAGTTGAAGACATTTTGTTAGATATTAAAGCTGAACAAATAAAATACCAATACTGTAGTCCAAATCCAGGGCTTTCTCACTCGTATTAGAGGGATCCCCTCCTTGATTGACCAGGTCTTCTAGGATGCAGCCGTACTCACCATGCTTGGCCAATTGTGGGTTGGTGAGGATATTTTACCCATATTTGATGTGTAGCTGTTGACTTTAACAGCTTGTATTTTTACCCTCCTTACCAGACCGGGGTCTGGTGGAGGGGAGCCAGTTTAGTTGTCGACCACTCTGGTTTTGAATTCAGAGTTGTCCTTCTCTTATACTGGTTGCCAACCAAGGCTATGGAACCCAGTCTATCCTGCTATTTACTCACAGCTGGGGCAGGGGATAGAGAGAGTTTCATACATTTCCCAAGGATATGTACATGTAAGTCAATGCAACAAACTTGACTGGAATTTGAGCTTGGCTCTCCAATTCCTTAATTGGAGCTGCTATCCATTATTCCACAGTGTCTCCATGATTTGTTGTATCTACAGTGATCAGCAGCTGATCAACTTGTACTGCCTAAAAGAGCTTTGTCTATCTCACAGAGGACAGCACCTTATACTCGAATTTGTAAATATGTTATAGCATAAAGGTCACATGTTTATATTTCAACACAATAAGCACACGTGGCAATAAGTACACATTAACTGGAAAAGTCATTAACAGCAAGTTACAGCTTCTATTCAAACTGTATTGATAGTACAATCTAAAATTTTATATTTGCTAAAGTACTTATGCTTAAGTGTCATATTACTAACATTGGGTTGGGGCAGGTGACAACATAATTGGAAGGTAAGGTGTAATTCTCAAAATGTAATAGAATTTACTTCCTATAGTTGTAAACTTCTCTTTTCAAGTTTGTTTGTTCAGGTGAGAATACATTTCTGGAGAATTCAAAATTGTGGTTTGTATTTATCCTCAGATGGTATCTGTGTGAAATTATTTCATTTTTTTTTCTTAAATTGAATTCACCCCAAGCAAGGCAGTAAAGCCACTAAGACACAAGAGATTACTGGGTATGCAAGAATTAGAAAACAGAAACATTACTAAGGAGTGAGAACAACAGAAGAGTAATCAGGGAGAGAGTAGAAATATTTAATTACCTTAACTCCCTGACCACGAAAAAAAAAAAAGCCATACACTTATTTGGTACAAATCACGTAACACTTGATTTTAAATTCTTATGTCAAGAATTCTAGAAGAATTGTGTAAAACCTTTGTTACTAACCAGAAACTCCTTCTTGGTCAATGCCCAAGATAAAGCCAGCAATGATCACAGCACAACAGACAATAGCAGGGATGGATGTTGTCTGCTTGAGGACAACATAAGAGAAAACCTAAAAGATGGGAAAAATAAACAAAGTTTAATGATCTGGCTTTATTAACTCGATGTGTTTATATTATTTTTTATATAACTGTTGATATTTGTGATATATCTATTGATATATTTTATCTGTTTATCAATATTTACTAAATTTGTGAGAAATCAAGATTTTTACCACCAATTTAATCCACAATATCAAATTAATCACTGTCTTACAATAGAAACTGTAAAATTGACAAGCTCTAAATTTCAAATGATTAGCTCTCTTCATCTTCCTATTATTGTCAACTTAAATTACTTGATACACACAAGCAAAATGGTGCTAATAGATGGAGCTGCTTTTATAGGTTTTACTGTTCCAAGGGCGGACAACCCAACATATCTTTTAGTCATGGGCCATAAATCATCTTAACACCAGAGTTTCATTATATCAGTTTCTTTATTAGTTCTTTTCTAATCATTAAATATGAGAGGCATCTGACAGTTCATATATACACTTTGACAGCTTCCAAAAGTAACCATTTGCTTCCCTCGTCTATGAAGGCAGTAAACTTGTCTATCAAATGTCTGATTTACAATGGAGTCTATTTGAAGATATTCCCATGACAACTGCAAAACCTTGGGAATCTATAGGGGAATCTTATCTAATGTTGCCTGCTTCAATATCTTGAAAGTCTTTTGTGATTAATCTGACTAATTCTTTTCCTGTATTTAGAAAATTTGTTTGTATTCTTGGCTGACAATTACCAAGATGGATCAGGTTGCTATTATGTGTCTCATTTTGCTAAGAGCAGACAACTAAACATGTTTTGATTAACAGCCATAACTTATCTAATAGACACTAATAGATATTGCCTAAGCTTGGCTTAGTCTGTAATAATGTCACATCTCCGAGGCACCTAGTAAGTGCCAACTTATTACAAAAGTAGTATCCTGTGACATTAATTTACTGGCTATTGCTAAATGGCAAGAGGACTAAATAGATCTATTTCTTAATCTATTCAGAAATAGATGAATAGATTATGATTGCTGAGAAAATTATTTAATTGGATGTGCAGTTATCTTAATGATTATCAGCACAGTAAAGTAAAATTGGTGAGCTGAGTTCAAATCCCCACCTAGTTTGTTTCATTCCTTTTTGCACAAAGGCCCTTTGAAAAGTCAAGGATTGATCTCTTCTCCTCCTGGCTATTGGTTGAATAGCAAGTTAGACTGGGCTTGAGAGTCCTGAGTAGCAAGCAGCTAGTCCAGAAGAAGGATAACTCTGAATTCAAAACTAGAGAAGACAATGGGAAAGCACTCCACTATCTTTCCAGAGAAGTCATGGCAATTTATAGATAATAAAATGAATCTGTTGGCATTGGGGGTGAGGATGGTTACCTATCTTCCATCTTTACTTTCTTCCTCCCACCCTCTCAAAAACAGGACACACCTGCAATTAGTCAAATAAAAATTTGCATGAGCTGGTGAATGAAAGCTAGAAACAAGGTCAGTTTTATTTTTTTTTTTAAACCACTTTTGGCAGAGAATACATGCAATATGTGGGTATTTCTTTCATCATGGTCAGCTACTATTTTCTTTGCTACAGAGTTCTAGTTACATGGTGGTTAGCTTATTGCTTTTCCACAAGTTTTTGATAGCTCAATGCATATCAATTGCTCTGAAAATGTGTCCCTGTGGCAAAATTGGTCTAATTTAACAAATACCTATTTTTATACCAATAAAAAGAAACCATATATAAAATTCTGAATATTTGAGAATAAGTATTTTTAGCAAATGTCTATATCCTATATATAAAATTTGAGATTAAAAAAGAAAAAAAAAAATCACAATAAGTAAAAAATAAAAAAAATGAACTTACAACATTGAAAACAGTTGTTAATGATCGGCTGATATAATAGAAAGGAACTTCCACATATTTTAGACAGAGGTTGTTGAAAGAGATCATTCCAACAAATATTATCGACAGAGGCAGTGTCTGAAAAGAAACAAATTTTATATATTCAGCTGCTAATGAGAGCATCCATTGAATTTTGAGATTTACAAAACCTGGATGGAAAGAAAAAAAAAATAAAAAAATAAAAAAATAAATGCACTTTTATAGTAAATAAGAATATTATTTTCAAATACAGACATTGCAAGTCAATATTTTCTAACCAAAGATTTTTCTTTTTTTAAATTTTATTTTAAATGAATAATCAAAGTGTATAGAATTATTGTAAATACAAATGTATACAATATTTCAATTTATTACCAATTTTTTTCAAAACTACTTTGTTGAATTTCATCTTTGTAGTCCACTAATACAATTCTATTTACATTGTTCAGAATGTTGTTCTCATCTTTATTGGCATATTCACAACGCTTTGGTCATTGTACACACTAACCTTTTTCAGTGATATACATTGGAATTTCAAACTGAACCCATTATTTTGTCCACAAGGGGCAAATTGTTCTAATTCCACATGCCATGCCTTTAGTCTTGAATATGACAATAAAGATGAAGACAATAGTTACAGTACTTCATTTCAGAAATATACAGACATAATCCAATTTAATTAGCCTAAATTTCCTTAAATCTTATGTACTTTTTCTTTTGTTTTTAAAGGAAGACAAGTATTTAGATCAAAAATAAATTTTTCTTAATTTGAACCTGGTAGAGATTTTGTAATATTTCAAAATCATGACTTCATGAAAGAATTATTTTTTTTATTAATCCATTCTCTGCAATATGTGATTTAGTTGAATTACTAGCAGAGTTTTATTAAGTATAGTTATAGTAAAGTTAAAGGAAAAAAAAAAATTAACATTTTGGTTTGTAACCAACCAAGAGGCAGCAATTTTAATTTAATCACTCAACTTTTTATATAGTTAATTTTCTACTTCCATATTTTTTTTATGTTCAGGACAAATATTTACATTGGGCACTATTTTATGAAAGTGTCACTGAATTGTTTTTAAAAATACACATTAGTCATGGTAAAGTGTAGAACAAGTTTTAGATCAATTGGTGCAAGATTCAGATTTGGAATTTAGTAAAACTGAAAGATTGATTTGTAGTGTTATTTAGTAAAAACACAAATAATAGGAAAAGGTTTTATATTCAATTTTTGCGTGAGGAAACAAAAGCTGTCAATAGTGTAGAGTGAAAGATTCATTTTAGGTAAAATATAAGAAAAAAGAAAAAAGGCAACTAAAAAATTAAGATATTAAGAAAATAAATAGTTAAAATATAAATACTGTATCAGTAGCAAACTAGGTCTAAAAATATTGGTTACCAGGTGACAAAGGGGACCAACTCACAACTACAATGTTATCATTTAATTTTCATAGCAAATAACATTTTCAAAAAATGCATATAAAAAAAAGAAGCTATAATTAAAATTTTTGTAGAAAAAAAATGTATTTCTTAGTAATTAGTGTACATGTAATGTATTTCTTAGTAATTAGTGTATATGTACTGTACCTATTACTGGAAGTAGATTTCAAATGTAAATGCAGAATGTTATAATTTTTTATTTATTTTTTAATTCAAAAGTAATTGGTTGATATTTTTAAATAGTTTATTGCACAATTTACGCATTAACAACTAGTTAACTTAATACAAAATACAGCATTGCATACAGTCCACTATATTAAGAGCAATCATTTGTGTTCATTAGATGATTATGTGAATCTGCCAATAATTGCGTCTGCATCTAATTCACCTAACAATTCCTTTTCAATGGATAGCAACATGTAGAATTCCAAGTTCTCCTTAGGCAGCAAATTTCTTAATCTTGTCTTTATGATCTTTAGCTTTGAAAATGTTCTCTCATATTGAACTTGTGTAACTGATAGTATGCAGATGACTTTTATAGAGTTCTTATTCCTTTTTATTACCGAAACAGTTGTCTGTGTTTGTTTCTTAAATGTATTTTTATTTGATATAGGGGGCCCTCTTGTCCGATTGCAAGTGGACACCATAGCCGGTCTGCCACTGACAGTCTTGCAAGATCTTGACTTCCTTAAAGACAACTTACAAAATTGTTCATTGCAAAGGTAAATATAATTACCTGCACTAATAATGGAAGGGTGCTTGTTAGAGAAAGTTAGTTTAATGATGAAAAAAGCATTTATTCTATAAATATTTATAAATCCTCTTCCCTTGTTAAGGTACAGGGTTCAGAGAGGAATATTAATGAAATATTTAAAATTTTTAGAACAAAATTCAGCTAATAAATATATGAAGTGGCAGACTGATTGATGCACCCTCAATGAAAATGCATGCAAAAGTTTCTAGCAAACTGTTAAAAAAAACCAAAAAAAAACCAAAAAAAAAACCAAACAAACCCCAAAACTGATAACTTTTACACACATCTAAATTATATAACTCATTAGTGAATCTAAACTGTTCCTAGAAAAATATACTATTTATAACATTAGAAATTCTGTGCTTAATATTATGAAGGTGACTGGTGATAGGACTGGAAACAAGTAGGTTTGAACTTGTGCCTTTCATGAGAAATAAATGAAAGAACAAGAGAGAAAGAGAGAGAAAAAAAAATCATGACTACTTACTGTTCGACATAATTTTGGTTCAATTTTAAAAGGTGGGAAAGTGACGTGAGAGGGGAATAAGGAGCTGAAGAAACTGAGCAGGCCACACAGCAAAACAGTCATGACACACTGGTACCAAGTGACAAACAACGGAGCATTGAGCTGGAAAAGAAAATTGAAGAACTATTTCACATCTAAAGACAATAGCAAATAAAACTAAAAAACAAAGTATATTATACATGGCTTGTTCTGAAAGTAATGCTACCTATTTTATTATGTTGACAATGGCAGTGAATGCTGGTCAATTGTGACATAGAAACGTGAAGGCACATTGAAATATTGAAAGATGCCTTCCAAAAGAAATAAGAAAATTTTGTTAGAAACAAAGACAAAGAGTTCTGAACTGCACTGTAATATCAGTTCTCCTACATAGTAGTGAATGCTGGACAATTTCCTCACAGATTAAAAAAAAGAGGCTTGTGGTAACAGTGACTTCGTTATACAGAAAAATATTGAGAATACCTAGGACATAGTGTGTAAATAATAAAGTTGTCTTAAGGAAAATGGAAATAAAAAGGACACCTAGAATTGGAAAGTGACTGTTGAAAATTCCAAGATATTTTTTATTTATTTATTTTTTACTACTGTTCACCCAATACAAAGCCCAAAAGCCACTCAAGGTAGAGGGTTACTGTGTGGTGTTGTACGATTGTAAGAAAGTGCAGTCTGAGACATTAGAAGTATAGTGTGGAAGTAAACTTTAGAAGGGATTGGGAAACTAGTCTTAAACAGAAAACAAGGGATAAATCTCAACTCGTAGGGGGGAGAGGGCAATGTGTGAACTGGATGATAGGTGAACTTATCTACTCCTATTCTATTGGGAGAGAAGGAAAAAATATTTAGTGAATGAATGAAGAAAGAAGGCTTGGAGAATTTGTCACTAACAGGGCATAGTGGAGACAAGAAGAACAGAGCAAAACTATTTACTGCAATCAAAGCATCATATATTTATTTCCTGTGCAGTAAAAATTTCATTAAGACATTTAAATTGAATGCCTGGAGACAATTGTTTCCAATCAAGAAAAATCAATATCAGTCACACTACCAATGTTTTGAATTCTGTGCAATCTGCTAATTGACAGAATTTTTGACTTGATGACAGAAAATAATTGTTAACATGTGAAAAAAGAAAAGTTTTAATGCATGGAAAGTGAAACGTGGAAAGTGAAGCAATGTAATACAATGATTTGCTGTATTTTCACCTACAGAAAATATGGTGTTTTGTTGGGGGGGTGCAAAAGTATAATAGTGCCAGTGAGTAACCTACCTAATGAGCATGTGTAAAGAGATGGCAGAACAGAGAATAGGAGAGTTAGTAAAAAGACAAACTTTTCTAAGAGCTACAAAGAATAGGAAGTTGTTGAGAGCCATGATTGTCCATGTCCTGAATGGCATATAAAAAGTATGACAATAGAGGTTGAACCTCTCCACCAATAATCCCTAATTTTTTTTTTTTTTTTTGCCTTGTCACAAACAGCAGCTGAATAGTAGTTTGGAAAAATAGCGTACAATATGAAAGTGTGCACAAAGCAGTGGTGTGTCACTTAATTTAAAAATTGTACCTATTGATATTCATTGGCCCTTGCTGAATGCTTCTAGAGACCAAACAGTGGATGTGAGCACAGTGTACATGACAAGTTCAGTTGTTTATTGCTGGTGAAAATGCATAGCCAAGAGTAGAAATAAAATAGTGTTTTGAAGCTGAAAACATGCTCCATCAAGTGGTGTTATTGAGTTTCCTGTGTGTTAGAGTTTCTGTAGAAATTAAAGATTACACCAAATGGATAGTGGCTTGGAATGAGAAACTAGAAAGTGGAGTTTGAATTTTACTAGAGTTTTACTATGTTCATTTTTGCACAAATACAACTTTAGAAAGCTATGAATCCATCTCTTCTCCCCCCTAACTATAGGTTGTATAGTAGGGTAGACCGAGCTCTTCAGCTTTGGTTGGCAACCAGTCTAGGAGAAGTACAACTGAATTCAAAACCATGTAGCCCTGACTAAGTACATATTATGCAGCTGATGAAAGGAACATGCAATTTACAATACGATCCCAACTGTAGTCACTTAATAACTTTTAGAGCATCCCTTATGTATATTCTGTCATTAATATTTGCATTAATTCCTGATTCATTATTTTCAACACATTTCTATAGAAGTCATGTAAATTTTACGTCTATTTACACTATTGTGCTCATCTTTGTTGTTGTTATCACAATGTTTTGGCGGTTGTACCCTCCAGGTGTATATTGATCTGAACCCTTTATGTAATGTCTGAGGGTAGACTTTTCTAGGGATATCATCGAAAAAATTATTTTTTATTTAGTTACTGTTCATGTAATTTGAGTTACTGCTTGCATGTTTCCACTGAGTGCCAATATACACTGCCCAACGCAAGGACTGAACATACAAAAATTGTTACCAAAATGCACAAACGAACACTCTTATCCACTATGCCAATTTATAGTAGTGAACTTGGAGCTTTAAACCTAACCTGCCTGCTTGTTAGGTTGCAATTGGAAATGGACAAGTGATAAATAAAAATTAGATGATATCTTTAGACATGAGCAGTGGAGCAAGAACAGTCTACCCTATAGATTAAATAAAGGGTTCAGTTCAGAATTCCCTGTAGGTTATATACCTATAGAAGGTTGGAGGGCATAATGTCTGAAATGTGATAACAATAACAAAATTGAAGACAATAGTCCAAATATAAATAGTGTAAATAATGATAATTCCTCATCCCCAAAATTCAGACAGAAATTGTACCTATAATTGTTCTGCTAGTAATCTTGCTGTATATGCTATGTTTCTTCAGGATGTGGGAAATCATGATTATCCACAGTTTCCTGTCTTGTTGCTTTCAGTAGTATTTTTTCCTTTATGACCCCACTTTATGGTACTTGGTCTTCCATTAATCCACATGAAAATGTCAAGTAGATCACCTGCCAAGGCTTCTTTCCTCATATGCTGGACAAATGTCAGTCGTCCCTTTCTGAGTGTTAGCAACACGTTCATTGCTCTTTCTATTCTCCTTAGAACTTCATTTGTTGCATGTACTGTCCATGGTATTCTCAACATCTATAGGTAGAATGACATTTTAATTACCTCACATTTTTTGGTGGGGGAGAAAATTGTGTAGTTTTCACTGCTGGATAGGAAAGTCCACATCATATAAGAGTCCAGTACTTTTACCCTTGTTTTTAATGTTACTTTTTAATCAGCTTCTGAAAAGTATCTTTTGCTATTCCTGTGCATTTTTGGATTTCTGTATCGTTATTTGTAGATAGTTGAACTCTTGCATTTGTTTAATTTGACATCTATCATGTATCTAACATATTAGGCTGTTTGTTTTACTTACCACCATGCATTCTGTCTTCTTACAATTAATGGTCAGTTTTTCTTGCTTTCCTTAATTACTTTGTCTAGTAGTTCTTTCAGTTTTTCTTCTGAATTTGCCATCTACACAGTGTATGTTGTTATCTACAAATAATAAATCCTGGTATGTTCACTAATTTTGTAGAAACATCTTGCAGTACAGATTAAATAAGTCTGGTGCAAAACATCTGTCACACACCTCATTCTAATTTGATGTATTTAATTTGTTGACTGTTCACATACAAGCTGTTTGACTTGAATACAGATAGTAAACTATTTGTATATGCTTTCCATGTAGATAAAACTTTTGTAACTCTTCATTTGTGTTGAACTTTATTGAATGCCTTTGTGCAATTTATGAAACATGTTCTTTCTGCATTTTTGTTGCTCATTCTGACAGCATTCTGATCATATATGTGGGGAAAATAAACTGGTGGAGTGAGATGCCCAGGCAGTGAGCCTGTTAGCAGAGAGGTGTCCTAGTTATATGAACAGAATTGAATTGAATTCTATGTGTAAAAAGAGAATAATTGAAATAAATGTTACAGTGAAAAAATGGATAGAAATACAAAACAGAGATAAAGTAAATTTGTCAAGCATTGAGTAAATCAATGAAGAAGACAACGTGCGTATGTAAGCATGCACATAAGAATAACATGTCCTTTATGAATAATGCAACTGTCAGAGAAAAGAAATACTTGATACAGTTTTTAAATTATAAATCTGACCCTGTCTCCACAAAATTAAAAACTTACATATAATAATCTTTGTTTATCATAGAAAAAAAAATAATTGGAAATTTGAAATGACAAATTTACAGGTTAAATATACACTTTCCCCTCACTCACTCAACTAAGCAAGAACAGAGTATTCCCATGAAACCTTTTGTGAGCTGAATCGGTCCAAGGTGAAGAAGCAATTACCAATATGTAGAATTGTTGACCAAGAAACATAGCAATAAAAATTATTTACATTAACATATTTCAACAATGTAAATTTGTATGTATAGAATATATGACAACAAAGCAGTCATGTAAACACACACACACACACACATTATACACACACACACAACCAGTCAAAAGTATTTGGCCACTCTCAAAATTGTTTATTTCTCATCCTAAAAGTGTTATTTTCAATGAAACAAGTTAAGCACCACATTGGTTTTATTTATTATCCTAAATAAAAGTCTTCCTGAGTCACATTAAATACAAATTAAAACACAAAAAACTTCTTAAACTTTTGATTCATCAAAATGATCACCATTGGCTGCTAGCACTGCTTCACAGATTCTTGGCATTCTTTCCACCAAAAACTGGAGGTAGACTGAAGATAGTTCTGCCCAGCTTTCCTGCAAAAGTTACCAGAGGTGAGCTGTACTTGTGGGTTGTTTATCTCTTACTTTTCAATTAAGTTCATCCCACACCAGTTCAATGGGATTTAAGTCTGCTGAGTGTGCTGGCCAAGATATCAGTTGAAGGACCTACTGTTCTCCTTTGCTTTTAATATACACTTGGCAGAGTTAACTAGTATGCTTTGAGTCATTATCTTGCATGAGTATAAATCCTTGACTCACAAGCTGTGTGCTTGAAATGGGATTGTGTGATGCTGCAGTATGCTGTGATAGCTGGTCTGATTCAATTTGCCCTTTACTTAGTGCAAATCCCTGACTTTTGCAATTGGCAAAAGCCCCCCCCACCATAACAGAGCCTTCTCCATGCTTTATGGTTGGTGTTATACAGGAGGTTGCATCTCTTTCACCAACTCTTTGCTGCACAGACCTTTCTATTTGTCCCAAAGATTTCAAACTTTGATTCATTGGTCCAAATGACTTTATTCCAGTGCTCTATTATAGAGTCTTTGTGTGCCTTGGCCCACTGGAGCCTTTTGACATTGTTTTGATTCCTCAACAGTGGTTTCTTGACAACAATTCTGCATATAGGCCAGTTTCACAGAGTCTTATCCTCTCAGTGGATGTTGACACATTTTTTTCACAATATTGGTTCAGTTGTGCAGTGATGTTTGGAACATTCATCCCTCTGTCACGAAAGCTGGTGACAGATGAAATTGTCCTCTGCTCTTGTTTCTTTTTGTCTACCAGCCCTACTTTTGGTTTTGTCCAGTTTCCTGATGTTTCCTAACAGTATAATCCACTGGAGTTCTGGGAATTTTTTTTCTCTCTCTGCTTGGATATCCTTTTGTTTTTTTTAAAGTAATGATCTCTTTTCTTTGTTCAAGTGTAAGTTCATGTGTTTTGGGCATTTTGTTGAGAAAAAAGTTGCAAAATTTAGGTTTTTATTTAAACAAAGTAAGAATAACAAATTTCATACTGGGCAAGGTACATTGACAACAGGTAGTATCTAGCAAGCAGTAATTCAACACAATATAGTCTAATGTGAGTTCAAGTGGTGGCATAATCTAATTTTTGGAAAGCGCTTTATTCATGCTTAGTACTAAAGAAGAAAAACCCCTTCAAATGAGTTTGGTTATACTAAGGTCAAAGTAACTGAGGAAGCACTTGTATTTAATATAATAAATTAAACCATTGTGGTGCTTAACTTGTTTCATTAAAAATAACACTTAGGAAGAGAAATAACAATTTTAGATGGTTTTAACTGGTAGTGTGTGTATATATATATATATATATATATATATATACACACACACACACAGAGTTATGAATTTGCAACATATAAAAGGCATAAACCCCCAGAAAAAAAGTGTGTTTGCTTAGATAGGAACACAGGAACAGATATTGATGAATAACAAACACAAGATTTACATTTGTAAATAAATTTTATATAACAAAATACGGGAAAAGTAAGGAGTGACAGACACACAATTAATAAAAGAACACTTAATTGATATTAGATATCAGTTCAAACGTTTGTATTTCAGGGATTTGGAATTCAAAGGTCAATAATAACAGGTAGACAAAATTGCTGTAGAATGCTCACAAAAGTTGGTTGTTTTTTTTTTCCTTCTGCAATGTGAAATATAGAATTCTGGAATAATGTTTGTGTTCTGTTTCCCTTTAGTTAATTGGATTGCATCTAGGATGAAAGTAAGATGTTTTCTTTGTATCTATTTGGGTAAAATATTCCTTTACTCTTTACCCATTAAATAGTCAAATAGACCAAAGATCTCTGGGATGAAATTTCCTTATCCTCTACACAACAAATAATAGAATAGGCTTGTGGGTGCATTTCTCATGCTTTACATTCACATGATGAAAGTATTTTTTTCATGAACTGTTGCTGTTGGAGGTCATCAGGAAACTAAAATTACAATACCAAAATCCCACTTGGTGATGTATGTCATGTGAGCATAGGTGACCGATTCTTACTCACTTTCTTAGGAGGTCAGAAGTAATCCCAAATTTCCTTCCTGCTATTTCTTAGTAGGTCATTCTGTTATCAAGTGAGCCCAAATTCCTTTCCTGACCTTTCTTCACTGAAAAAAACTTAGTAAAGGAGAAAAAAAAAAAAGGGAGAAGAAGAAGAAACAAAGTCTCTTATTAAATTTATTGTATGTCTGATTTATCAGTTAACATTGAGGGCCATGTATGTCACAACACACAGAGGGTGCGATGGGTAAATTGTCGTTTAAATTAAGAAAAAAAGGAAATTAACACCAATTAGATATATTTATCAAAATTACACAAAAATATCTTGAAATATGAAAAAAAAAGCCATTGGCTTTTGTTTCAACCACAGTCTTCAAAAGACATTGGAATCTCCTGAAACTTTCTTGGATGGTCTCCTTGTTTAAGTTGGTGAATGCTGCCATGATCCTTGCCTTCAGTTCATCTTTGTTGTTACAAAGAGTTTTGTTGGTTTCTTGTTCAACTGCACCCCCACACATAATCAAGAGGTGTTGCAGTCTGGGGAGTTAGATGTAAGGGATGATGCAGCTGCAGAAATTGTCTGACAGCCATGATTGGGTTCTTCTGCTTGTGTGACACAGTGCATAGTCCTGTAGCCAGACATAGGTTTGTCCAGAAGCCACCCTCTTCACTCAGGGCAGCACTACTTCCTCAAGGCACTTGATGTAGGCCTCCATATTGAGTGAGGTCCTCACCAGCAAATTCAGGAGTTCTTTTCTTATCAGAACGATCACAGTGAGTTTTCCAAGCTTTGTAATCACCATTAAATTCATCTGACTCTTTCCAAATCCATTACACCATCCTCAGATGGACACCCAAACACTCTGAAATGTTTGTATTGGAGCTTCCGGCACAAATGCCAAGCCAGACAAATTTCTGGCTGAGTGAATTGCGTCATGGTGCTCTTTTTCTCACAGACAATGCCCAATTGACCCTACTATACTGTGCAATTGACAAAATCAAAAGGAAACAAAGAAAGTGTGGGAAATTAAAAATATAAAATGGCAACAATTTACCTATCGCACTCTGTACATTATATATATATATATATATATACACACACACATACATACATACATACATGTAGTGATTGAAAAGTAACTCCCTATTTTATATATGATGGATGATCTTGTTTTGTAAAAATTATAGTTAGATGGAAGAATCCATTATACATAAAATAGGGAGTTACTTTTCAATCACCCTGTATACACACACACATACATATACAAGAGAAGATAAAAAAGAACTTACCTTTAGCTGTTTGCTACTTAGTAAATATTTGTTTACAAATACCATAGATATAGAAACAAACCTACAACAAATGAAAAGAAAAAAGTCAGTGTTGTCTTATTTTCAAGAGCACAATAAAAGCACATAAATATCAAAAAGAAAAAATATGGTAAAAACAACAAAGCTGTATATGATGTCATGTAATCTGATCCTTAAAATTTTATAAAAGTAATATAATTACAATTAAATTGATAACTAAGTCACCTCACTTGGTTTATTTCAGGTTCAAACCTTCTTAGAGCTTTTTCCAAACTCATTTTATGACTTCTAATTATTATTTTTAATCAGTTATTTCTTTTTGCTTTCTCCTTGATACTGAATTAATTTCTCTTGAGTTTTTTTTCAGTTTAATTTTAATTATTTCCTACTTCAAATCATTAGGTATTCTCAAGCATTAAAATGTTGACACAAAGTTACCATCCAGTTATACCCCACATGCTGTAAATATCATTATCTATTCTCCTTATAATCATTCCTACCACCTTTCACTCATATAACTCATTAATCATAGCCATTTTAAAAATAATGAGTGGCGCTCAAGACTTGTATTGGGTAATTTTTAGTATTTAAAAAAAAAAAAAAGAAAAGAAAAGAAAAAAGAACATTAAGCTGTCTATCGATTGTCTTCTAAATCAAATATTGATTAGCTGTAAGCATGTTACACAAAATTATCTTCATCCCTTATCAATTAAAATAATCTCATGGAGAATTAGGTGTGTGTACGTTTTAATCACCCTCCCAATTTCAAAAATCCTCGAATGAATGACTACAATCACGGATAATATTGAACTTACTTTCACTCACCCTCTCATTATATTATATATATTATACATACATACACAGTTTTAATCACTACATACTTAAGATAAAGTTTAATCTAAGCACTATAATTGATGAACGACAATAACTAATGAAATCAAACAATTATAACAGGGTAGAGTAATAAAAGTTGTGATGGACAGAAGACTTGTTCTTACTATAGATCTTAACAGTCTCAGCTTATTGATCTTTGCACATTAAACCACATCATGGTTTCCCTTTGGCCTATCTGAATTGCCAGCATCACTATTTTCACTTTGTTACAGATTTAATGCATCAGTGAAATCTAATTTGAATTGATTTTTAATCTGAACTTCAAAAACTTATTCAGAATTTTAGGACAATACCAAAAAAAAAAAAAAAAATTGGTTTGTTCATAAATTGTACTTTGCCTGTATGTATGCATATAAAAAAGTATAAGTGTTTCAAGCCATGAAGCCTTACAAAATATCAAACTAGTTTGGATAACAAGGTTTAGAAGTTGAAAGGAATGTACAATATATTTTAGGAAATCTTAATTTTCCATAAAGAATCTTTAACATTGCTCCTTCAAGCCCCTAAGGATTTTCAGGAAAAAGGAAAAAATATGGTCCCATAAGAGTATGTAAGCTTTTAATATTTTATTTATATTTTTTTTTTATAGATTATAATAACAAAAAACTGGAATGCTGGAAGTTCAGTGGTCTGTCTACATAAGGGTAATGGGAATCAAATGATATCATGTTTCACTGGGAGCTAAAAAGGTAATATGAACATTATCTGCACTTTAATGCAAAGTCAGCTTAAATTATAACATGATGGTGACAGAACCAGTTGCTTGATTTACAATCATTTACATTTGAAAGTATTTTATTCCTAAAACTTAAAAAAATCCATTTAATCCTATATATTGGATTAAAATTAACATTTGAATTCAAAAATATGTGCGCATATATATATATAAAGTTTTCTTGAATATTCAGGTTGGTACATGAAAATACATAAATATGCTGTTTAATAAATAAATGGAGCATCTACTCAAATATGAGTACCAACTAAAAATAATGTTTAAAGAGATTTTATATATATATATATATATATATATATATATATATATATGTGTATATGTGTGTGTGTGTGTGTGTGTGATGTACCTACGAATTCATTAACCATATAGGTGTAAGGCTAAAAAGAACCCCCAAAAGAAAAATCCCAAATTCTAGTCAAAAATAGTTAGTTATAAAAAAAAAAAAAAAAAATAGATAAAATCCAATGCTTTCAACTTGAGAGCGAATATGTTCTATGATCAGCCATACCCTCCTCTTCTCTTCCAAATTCTTCCTCTTTACCTTCTCTTCCACCCACAAGCCAAGGGCCCGTGAACTTTGAATCAACTCAACCCGAGAATGACCTGGTTCCAAAATCCTGCAACTATCAGGCAGTTGACCATAAGTGAATTCCAAGCACCATCAGGCTCCCCTGCTGTGATTCATGTGATCAGACCCTACAGAGGGTTGGTTGATTTTGGGGCCACTATGCAAACACTGTGTGAATTGTGCCCCATCCTCCTGCATACCGGTCAAGGATGCAGAGAACCCACGTGGCTATCTTTGTGGACAGCAAACATCTAAAAAAAAGTTTTCAGTTTCCAGTCTTCCCAGTGGCAGATGAACATTGCTGAGTGAATCGTCCCAATTCCAAATGGACTGCCCACTGAAATGAAGAAGACAACAAAGTCTGTCGAATAGAGAACGAAAGGACTGCTACAAAATATTACCAACCAACAAAACGCCTGTACGAGATGCTGTGAACCACCGGCCATTTCTGAAAGAAAAGGAACCCAGGAAAATTGCCAGATGTCCAAAATATCGTTTTAGCATAAGAACTCTCGTTTTGGTGAATTAGAACTCTGCGTGGAGATATCAACTCGACTGGCAGATAAGTTGATTTCTTGGCTTGATCTTTTTATGTATATGTATGTATTCACTTGTACCTTCCGTTCTTTTATGATCCTCTTCCCCTTTGTTAAATGAATTTTCTTTTTCTTTACCTGTTTATGTATTTATAAATAAATGTTTTATTTTGAAATCCATTGTCTTCTTGTGTCTGTTTTTCACTTCCATCCCTGAGTGAAGAAGCAATAACCATTAAAGTTGTCTGTTTCTTTATATATATATATATATATATGGCCTGACGATTGCATCTAGTATGAAAGACTGTCGCCTCTAAGTGTTGACTTCTATGTTCACTTATATATATATATATATATATATATATATATATATAAGACAAAAAGGAAAACTATCAACTATTTTACCTTGATAAAAGACCTTCAGAGAACATGTCAGTTAAAATAAGTTTTTCTTTTTTTTTTCTTTATTCATATTTACAGATATATTCTATTTGAAATTATATATTTAAAAAAAATTAGGAGATCAGCCAATCATGCTACCTTGTTCAATATCCTCATGCACTATAGGTCAAATGATTTCCTCACACTATTATTTATATATAAACACAATAGAATTGTTATATAAAATGTGTGTGTATATGTATGTACAGAGAGGGCCCTCATCTTACACTATTTTGAACGTATACTGCTGGAAAATATATATGTTTTAAATTTAGGGAAACTTAAAACGCTTAACCTCCTAGCCTGTCTGAAACTGTACCTTGTTATATAAAGGATAAAACTAAACTTGTCTGCTATCATTCTTTTATGGAGGTTTCTCGCTTAAATTAAAGAGTTCCTAACTTCCTCACTACAAGTACTGTGTTTGCTCTGACTGTTTTTATGCTACCCTTTTGTGTGAAAAAAAAAAAAAAAAATGTTGGTGGTAGAAATGATCAAGGTAGTGATAATAAGCCTAAGAAAGCTAGAGAAATGACAAGCCTCCAATAAAAATTACAAGTGCTGGATTAAATAAAATCGGGGGTGGGATGGGGGCAGAAGCAGCTTCATCCGTTGGGTAAATTATATAAAAATTGTGCTAGCACACCCAATCAACAAACAATTCAATTTACCCAATTTTGCTCACAAAGCTTAGTTCAACCTGAGGTAGGGTTTTCAGACTTTCCAACCTCCTTATCAAGATAACATCAAGAAGTCACCTTCCATTGTGAAATTTGATTATTGGTCTCATACTGGTAAAGACCAAGAAAGCATTAAGTTTATAGCTGGAGAACATGGTTCAGAAGTAATGGAAACATTTTAAAAGAGATGTCTTGAAACATTTATAAAACATCACAACATTGAGAACTCTCAAGGTCATGAGGGAATAGACATCAGAGTTCCCAGAACAACAACAAAAAAATGTAATTGAGGAAAAGGTTAGTCAACAGTCAATTCTTCAAATTCTTTGTAAAGAAATTAACCTTTTTGGGAGAAAAGGTCAAATCATATCTACATGAGAAATATCCATTTAAAATTATTCAAGGTGTTTTTTGCTGAGGCAAAACTGGGATTAATCTGACACAGAGCAAGATAACTACTGGCTGACAGGATCTCATTTTACTTCTCTGCATATGCCTATCAACATAATCATTTGAGGCAAGGTTTTACAAGGCCGGATGCTCTTCCTGACACCTAACTCACAGACTTATGGTAGTCCAAGTACACTGAGTGTTTTTATCTGGACACCATCTTGAGAAAGTTTGACATTCAAGGTTTGAGACACCATCTAACCTTACATATGTTTAAAAAAACAAAGTTGTAATTTTTATGAAAATTACAGCAAAATTTAACTAATTTGTCTGAGTATTTGATCATTTTTAAAACTTTAGTACTTTAACTTCTTTTTATTTCCTAAACAAATTTAATTGTGTTATCATGTTACTAACAACTATAATTGATAAAGTTAAAAAAAAGAAAAAAAAGGCATTTGATTTTGGGACAGTTTAAAATTTGAGACATAGATATTTGGGGGGGGCACTCTTATATGGATAAAATAAGACACAGATAATAAATTGTTTAAAACCTTCCTATGCTGAGCAGATATAATATGCAAAACGAAGCTGTGAAAATAGGTTTTGAACATTTTATATACACGCACACAGAATGTTAAAAATTAAAATTTTAGACACAATGGGTTGAATATTAATATTTTTGTTTTATTTCTTTAAATTGGATTCCTCGACTAGTTTTGGCCAGCATGGCCTTCATCAGGAGAAAAAATTCCTGCTTGTTAGTAGCAGTGAACTACAGGGGTGAATGACTGTCTCTGA